CCCCCCTCACCCCTTGGAAATTATCCTTCCCCCTTTCCCATGGTGGAATTTCTTTTTAAAAAAACCCCACCACCAGAAATTCCATTTTCCTTCCTTATAAACCCTTCAAAAACAATTATTAGTCCCTCTGTCCTCCCCCCCTTCCCCCCTTGGAAATTTCAAATTCCTCAGTAGGGGATATGGATCATTTTTGGAACTATACATTTATATTTAATAATAACCTCTGCAAAATCAGGACGAAAAGTGAAGATCATGGTGTGAAAGGGACCAAACCAAAGGCAAAAGTAACCATTCTCCTGGTACTCCTTGGACCATTGCAACAACTGATCATTGAAATCTAAAAATAAATAAGTATTTTAGAATTTCTAGCTTCTAGAATCCCTCACTTAAACCATCTGAAAAACCATTTTAAAACCCATCTGAAAACCCATCTTAAAACCCATTTTAAAAAGTGAAATGTCCTGTCAGCTCCAGCAAGCACTACAGAGAGCACCCTCAAAAGTGAGAATTGGGCTTAGATTTAAAAATATATTATACTATGTTTTGTAAGTATTTATAGACATGATATAAGAGGAAGAAACCTTCTAGAACCTACATATACATAGTTCTGCCTAAATCATCATCATCAGGTTTGGGTCCAGGTTTTTATTGCATACATACATACATACATGAATACATAAACTTTATTTTCACACGATAAAGTAATTAAAGCATATGCTTATGGGGTGAACTGAATCAAAATGAAAAAAAAGCAACTTCTAGCTTGTTATTGGGTTCGTGTCAGAGTCCTTTAATGGGTTTGTAGTTGCCATTTAGGGGGTTTGATCATTGTTAAGGGGGTTTAATAATGGATTAGGGAGTGTGGACAAACCCACTAGATCTGCCCCTCATCATTATTACTATTACTATTGGTTAACTGGCAGGGTTAGAAAGAAGAAAGAGTTAAATTATCTATCAAGTAATCACTAGCCTCCTTAACGTTTCAGAAGTTCTTTGTGTCGATCCATACCCTGTGAAAATTCTGTGAAAAACCTGTGAAAACTATTTCTGAATTCTTCAAAGTCCACAAGTTTTTCCCAGCCAGTAAGTAGCTTTATACGCACTGCAAAGAACATCTGCAAAGGTCGGCTTCCCGACCCCCTCAATTATTTAAAGGCAAAAATCATATTAGATACTGGATATATATATACACCTGTATACACGGTACTTATTTTTTTCGCAAGTAATTTGTATGATAGTCAATCTCCTTTCACTGATAATCTTTTTACAGAGGATTACAAGAAAATACATGTTTATTTAGCTTAGACAACAAATAAAAAGTGGGTGTTAAATAACGATGAATTTACGTCTCAAATTTTTAATACTCACCACTACCATCCCTTTTAAACTGCATAGCATTTCCAAAGAAGAAGCTTTTCTTTGGACCAGGTAGAGTTTCCAGTACTTTCATTGCATTTTTTGCCCTTTTCCATGCCATCAATCCCCACACCGCGAACACCAAAGGTACGCCAACGGACAGGGCAAGTATAAGTGGCCAAAATTCGGATCTTGAGGTCTCCATTGGTTTGATACTTTCAAAAGTTCCCTTCCAAAGCCTGTAAGTCTGTCCCTCTTTGAGCAGAAGTATGGATCGACTCGTTTACCGTGTCTTTTTGCTGCAAGAAACCGCCACAACGATCCACAAGTTTCTAAAAATGCCACTTAATGGCTAGAGAAACCGGGGTGGGGTTTTCTAAAGTGGCATCTGTCAGAACGTGCTGTCCAAGGTCCAGCATATGTATTTTTTTTGTCACGCAATTTTGTTCCATCGAAACATCAAGAATATATCAAGGTAAAAAAAAACAAACTTGGGGAATAAAAGAATAAAGAATTGATACAAACCAATGCCTTCACTTGAACACAACAAAATATATTCAGGATCACGCGAGATGGCCGCGCGAAAAATGATATCGATAGCAAGTACATAATCAATAAACAGATAAAGCAAAGCTGACATTGATTGACCTTGGCCTCGTTTTCGATAAGATTATGAGTGCTAGTTTATGGGCACGCTTTTTGATTGTTATTTATATCCTTGAATAGACTTAGATTATAGGATATTAGAGTGGACGGATCGTAAAAAGAGATACTGAAGTTCATAAATAAGATAGTTTCGCTCATCATGGATTACTTGTATGAATCAAAAAGTGTGGCCCGCATGAGCTCGTTTATTTGTTTGCCAATACTCCTGGTGTTATTGGGATTGTTCATATGGAAAAGAAAAATAGACAAGGTTAAGATGCTTGAGAAATTTCCAGGACCCAAGAAAAACTTTCTGTTTGGAAATACGCTCCAGTTTGCTCGAGATCCAAGTGGTGAGTGATTTAATACTAGCTGCTAAGTTTATACACAAGATTAGCTAGCTCGATCATCGAGCGTTTACCTTCGATCACGACCAAATGTAATCCAGCGTAAAATATGCACAGATAGTGGGCTTTATCATAAATAGTGGCGTGTATTCCTTCCCGTGAGAATAAAAGGCCAAAAGAGGTCGGCCGCCATGTTTGGTTGACATGACAAAATACATCAAGACCAAATGTCAAAGTAAACCAAAATGGCGGCTATGACGTCACATGCACGTACCCAAAGAATAGACCCCTTACACTGAGTCCCTCCAGGAATATTGTTCTGGGGGACAAAACAATTTTTTTTTTTTTTTTTTTTTTTTGCATAAGAGAAGACGCCCTATTGTTTCGTCGCCCAGAATAATTCCTCTAGGAATTTAATGCCAGGGGTTTATATACAGATGACTTTTTTCACTCACAATAATCAGGGTTTACACCGCTAACACCTTGGCTTTCAGAATAAACTGGTGGATGCCGGCAAGAGCTTTGATTTGAAGTTATCTGCCTGCTCTTTTTTTTTTCTTTTCCATTATAATAATAATAATATAGTTCATCTATTGGATCGCGGCCAGCCTAGCTACTAAGACCTCTGACAACTTACTCCAAATCTTTTTAGAATTCCATGCTCACAGGAAAACATATGTACCCCGATCACCCATTGCAGCCTCTCATAATAATGATGTTTCGTCCTCATATAATGCCATAATAGTATAGTATTCTTTGGGTGCAATTAGTTACCTCATAGCCACCATGTTGGTTGACAATCATAACCAAGCATTACTGATCATCTTGTTAGATCAACCAATTCAAGATGGCAGTTTTTTCATTGTTACAGTATTTACTGATCTTGAGGGAATTTGATTTTGAGTCTTGTCCATGGTTGCATGTACTCCAAGAATAATATCTCTACAGTATGTAAAACTAATGTTCTCTATTTTTACAAAATTATTGTAAAAACAGAATTCCGTGACCAGGTACTCAGCTGGTCCAAAGATTTCAAGGATAATGGCATGTTCTGCATCTGGCTTGGTCCGTTTAATCCATTCATATATACCTTCAAGCCAGAATATGCAGAGGTAAAATACATAAGAAATATGAAGATAAATGAAGGTAGATGTTGACTGCTGGTCTTTATTAGGTACTCCACCGTAGGAAACCCATTAGATGCTTTCATTTATCATTGTCCATACAATTGTAAATGCAATTTCTTACTGTGTGATAATATTATAATCTTGGTCCAAATGGGCTACTGACTTGTGTAGACCTGGTCTAATCGTTTAATAGCTTACTCATCTGATTTTAGTGCCAGCAGGGTTTTCCCTTATTACACAATAGAACAACAGAATATTTATATTTGTTTAATTAATGCTTTAACCTTGAGTTAATATGTTTAATTTTATATAATTATCTAATAAAATCTGTGTCATGGGAGTGTGAGGCTTTGACTAGTTTATGTGTATCTGCCTTATTGACCTAGAAAAAGGTTGTTTACTGGTAAATTTTGCAGATATTACTGAGCAGCTCACACCAGATCAGCAAATCTTACGAATATGTATTTTTACATCCATGGCTCGGCACAGGTAAATAATTAGACTTAATTAAATACATGTGGATTTCATAGTTTGGGTGGCATGGGTGGCATGGGTGGCATATTGTAGTGGCTTAGTGATGTACTCTCCTTTCACCGCTGTAGTCCRGATGCAAGCTCCGGCCCAGACTGGATCACATGTGAGTTGAGTTTGTTTGTTGTGTTGTTCTCTCCCTTACTTGCATGCCACAAGGGTTTTCTCCATGCACTCCAGTTTCCCTCCTCCGTAAAAATCAACATATATGCAAGTTGAGTTTTGTATGTTGTAAATATAGAATGTAGTGGTAGTGCGTGTGGAGGGAACCTCACAGAAGAGCCTCGTAGGAGTGGTGGTTTTACAAGAAAAGTTTAAGTTTAAGTTTATAGTTTGTATTTGCCTCTCTATATGCCCCTAGCTACCAAATGTACGATCATGTGTCTCTAAAATAGTAATGAAAATATTGAACAGCTTTATATGAGGTCCGATCCACTAATGACAAATCTAATAAACAACATTAATGGTTTGGACGGGAGGAGGGGGATCCCATACATAGCCTATACTGGATATATGATGTTAACATTTATCTATACTAGCATTTTCAATTTTTATATAGGGTATTAAATAATGTTTTGATGAATTTTCATCAAAACTTAAAAAAGTGAGTGTAGCCTCCAGAATGCGTACCATTATTTAAACACTACTATCAATACTGCTACACTATAATCTCACATTGGGTCACTTCCCTATTACTCACTTAACCACACCTAGTTCCTTCCCCCCCCCCCCCCCCCCCCTTTTTCCAAGGCCTATGGTATGATTTTATTACTCACATGATTTATTATTTTACCACAACAGTTTAACTTAATAGTACAGTCCCAGCATTACAGTAGACCATTAGACTTCATTATGGTGTCTTTGAGGTCTGCAGGTCAAAATAAAATGGGACTGAACTTTAAGTGTAACTGTTGACTGATGATTGACAGGTCTTCTTACCAGGTATGTCATTGCATTAATTACCATGCAATTAACTATTTCACTGTCGTTCTAACCCAGTACTCACTTTTGAATGTGCCCCTCAGTGTCACTAACTTGTCCGAGATATTTGTCTCGTAGTACCCTCCTCCTTCCCATCCTCCTCCTTTCCATCCTCCTCCTATTCCCCATCCTCCTAGTTCCACCCTAGCTCCACCTTGCCTGATATTTCAGGGTACCCCTCAGCATTCCTTACTTGTTTCTGGCACCTGGTCACATAGCATCCTCCTCCTTCTCACCACCCTTCTCCTCACCATCTTCCTCCTCACCATCCTACATGAAGCTCCATCTATACCCCAGCCCCCACTTTTCAATGTGCCCCTCAGTAACCCTAACTTCTCCCTCACGCCTTATGGCATATACATAGCATCCTCCTTAGCATCCTCCTTATCATCATCCTCCTCATCCTTCTCCCCCACCTCCTTCCACCCGGCCCTGATATCTGAATGTACCCCTAAGTATCTCTAACTTTTCCCTGGCCCCTCATCACATAACCCAACTCCTTCCAATCCTCCTACCATATATAGCTGATATATTACCAGGATAGCAGGGCCAACAGGACTGGAAGAAGCTCCCTCTCTTTTTACTAGAAAAACATCTTATTTTGTTTTAATTTGAGTTCTTTTTTGAAGAAAGAAAGAGATAAGTACACCCCCCCCCCCCCTAAAAAGTGCTCTGCTGCCCCTGAACACAAATTTCTCTTTACAGCAGTAATGACTGTAATATATTTAATAATCTTTCAGCACTGGAGAAAAATGGAAGAGGCGTCGCAGACAAATAACACCAACATTCCACTTCAAAATTCTGAATGAATTTATTCAAGTGTTTGAAGAGCAGTCAAAAATTCTTGTTTCTATTCTGAAGGTGAGACAAGGTCTAACATGGTGTTGATCTTATTTTATAATTGAGTGCACTTTCCATATTATTTTCTTCCAGTCTGAATGCCAGGAAGGTGCTCTAGATATTTTCCCTCGAGCCGCAAAATGTGCATTAGACATTATTTGCAGTAAGTAAATTAAGTTCAATAATGTCTTTTTAATTGGTTAGCTTATATTTAAAGATTGAAGAGCTGAAATTCTGACCTATTAGATAGTAATAAGTTCTAATGATCAGCTTAAATTACTGGGCGACTTGACTCTCTGGCCACTTGACCAGATTCCGAATCACCAGTACAGGTGGTAGGTGTGGTACATTTTTACATATTTAAATTTTTTTATTTTTTTCTCTCTTTTTCCCTTCATTCTTCTTTGTTTCTTCTATTTTATTTTATTTCGTCATATTTGAATATTAATTGTGTTCTCTTTTCCTTCTTTCTTCTTTCAATTGCTTTTTTTCCCTCTTTATTTCTTCCATTAATTTGTTTCTAATCACCATTATTATTTTTCCATTATATTGCAGTTTCATTCTTATTTCTTACTCTTGTTTCTTTCTTTCTTTTCTTCTTCCTTTCTGTGATTCATGTTTTCACTCCTTCTGTACGTTCCACTTTTCCCCTTATAGAGTCATCGATGGGTAAGAATGTTAATGCTCAGAGAGATGGCAATTCTAGATATGTTGCAGCTGTTACAGGGTAAATCATTCAATCTTTGTTATCATTTTTTCTGATTCTAATGTTCGTTTATACATTACTATTCACAACATTCCTAATGATAAGCAATAATGAAATAACTTACAATTTCGGTTCATTAACAGCTAAGTGTACATATGCACGTGAAGGACGCTAACTGGATGGCTATAAATAAGAAGTGGACCAGAAATACTCCATCCTTGCTCAGTTCCAGCGGAACACTGGTTGAAGAATAGGCCCACCCTCCCTCCCTCCAGATTCACTTGGGTCATATTCTCTTAACCAGTCCTAAGCCAAGCTGTTCCCAGCTTGGCTTAGACCGCTGATCAATATTTTCCCATTCCTTAATTCAATTGAGCATGAATGAGATTGTTGTAGAATAGATTACTATGTACACTCCCAAAGCAAATGTGGTTTAAACATTTACCATATCGATATTATACAAAAACTTTTCTTTACAAGTCTTACACTGGTTTTGCTGCAGGATCTGTGAGCTCATACAAGAACGTCAAAAAAGTCCCTGGTTTTGGTCTGATCTCATTTATAGCATCACTCCATCAGGACGCATGCAGCAACAGTACCTTGAAACTCTTCATGGCTTTACCAACAAGGTAACAATGCAGAAGTAACTCAATTTACCAATCACACCAGCGATCATCCTTACTCCAGGGTCATCACCTCACACGATTGCATTCCTAATAGATTCCCCCGGGGGGGGCTCTCCCCTATATTCATTATACGGGTACGTGCCGCCAAACAGGGTATGGTTTTCAGTGATTCTACTCTGGAACAGGGTGTATAAAATCGCGCTCGCTCTGGGACAGGGTATATGAAATCACGCTCTCTCCTCAGGGTAGCTATTTTCGCAATACCGGAACAGAGTATGGTTTTCAGCGATCTTGCTCTGGAACAGGGTATGAATTTCAGCGATTTTACTCTGGAGGAGGGTCAGGGTTCAGAGGGCTCAGCGGCACATCCCTACCCTAAAGGGGCAAGAGTCCCCCCCCCCCCCCCGGGAATAGATAGGGTTCGCTTTTTCGTGTCCTGCAGACACAACTTGAATTGGTAATTTGTTATTCTCCCTCTTGACTAGATGTACTGTTAAAAGAAACCTCTGTGAGGAGCAGTAAGTAAATTTAGATATTGATTGTATTTTGTTTATCGTGCAGGTGATTGACGAGCGTCTGTTAGAAAGGAAGTCTTCAGCAGGACAAGAGGAAAGGGAAGTAGACGAGTTCACTGGGAAGCGTAAGAAACGTCCATTGGCTTTCCTCGATCTGTTGCTTGATGCCTTTGATGATGGACAGATCGATAGAGAAGGCATCCGTGAAGAAGTAGACACATTCATGTTTGAGGTATATATTTGAAGAATCAGTAACATTTTCACTGAATCATGAGTAACATTTTCACTGAAAATGTTACTCATCATTATTTGGATGCAGTTACTTTTAGTTAATATTGGTTTGGTTTCAATGCTATTTTGTTATATGATTAGACATAGACGTTTCTGATTTGTCTGTTGAAATACTCTGTGTCGTGGATAATTATTGTGTATACCAACAAAATGTACATTTCGTAAATATAAAGTTGATACTAAGGGATGGACCATCAGGGGGGGGGGGGGGATTTGGGTTGCATTAAATTATGTTGCACGATATTTATTTTTTCGCAACAACCCCAGCATGCATTTGTGTGTGTGTGTTTGCTTCATATTTCTTTATTGAAAAGATATTTTTGGGGATTTACGCAAACACCCCTCCCCCACCCCCCTAAATTATCTAATGGTCCGTCCCTAAAATCCATGTTTGACGACATTTTCACGACAGGGTCACGACACAACTGCTGCTGCTATATCGTGGACCATACTTTTACTGGGTTTACATCCTGAAGTACAGGATAAAGTACAGCACGAAGTGGACGAGTTCTTTGGTAAGGTGCATGCGTAGTTCATTTGGTTAGTTTGCGGCCTTCGGAGCTAGAGTTCCATCGTTCGATCCTAAGACTGAATCTACACCTCTGTTTCAACTTCTCTCTAATCCGTGTAGCTTCGGCTTTGAATACTCTTAAAACAAGGCACTTATAAAGAGAAGGGGTAAAGTGCGCACCGTCGGCTTCCTAGGATACCAGCCGAAGGAACTACCGACGTCAAATATAGTTACTTTTACCTTTTTGCAATATTTTCAGTGACCAGAGTGCAAAGAGCCTTTGCATATATTTCAAGAGTCTTGAGCGAAGATCCACGTTGTCATTTCTGCGCATTCCTGTGGACGCGCGCAGAGATTACACTCGTCTTTACTGAATGTAGAGGGAAAGGGAACGCTCGCAGTCCATTTTTTGGGGTGGGGATTGAATACTTTGTTTTAAATATAGAATAGCTCCATCAGTATTTTATTACAATAAATATATTTTTTAAAGTAATCTTGAAAAGCAACTTGATAGAAGACATCGGCTCCATAAGTACTGAATATAAATATAAATATAAATATTCTTAATATGTAGAATCTCGAGCAGAGGAACTGACTGTTGATTCGTTGAAGGATTTGAAGTACTTGGAGTGCGTCATTAAGGTAAGCTGGACCTGTTTTAGCCAAATGCTTACATTTTATTGAATTCTAACAGTGCTCATTGATGAGTGATACTTTCTACACAATAAAGGTAGTAATGCAAGCATTTTCTTTTGATAAGAACATTGAGAATGTTTTACATCATGGTTATCAGGGGCGCTTACCATTTACCCGGAAAAACCGGAAATTCCTATAAGAAGACAAATAGTACGTGTCATTCCGATCGGAATGTCTCGGAAAACTCGGTCTTCCGATTGAAGTAATCCACTTTTCCCGCTCTTTTTGGTTCTCGCGGTAGACGCGTGTACCATTTGTTGGAAGTCAAAGTTTCCCGCTCTTTTTCCATCCGGATGGGTTAGTTTTAGCTTTTTAGCCTCCTCCGCAGGCTACCCCATTTATTCTTCGTTGGGATTCCTTTGTTAAATTTTATGGCAGAGAAGAACTAGGGACGAGAGAGGAGGAAGAGTGGGACGAGTGGTAGGCATCCAAGGGCACGTATATTTTGTATCACTTATATCAAACGGTCTTCACTTTATTTTCTTTCGTAGGAAAGTCTTCGCTTGTATCCATCAGTCCCGTTCATTGCAAGAGAATTATCAGAAGACCTAACTATTGGTACGACAATTTAAACCAACTTTAACGGATTTTTATTCTTTTTATTATCGCTACATGGGTCTATTACCCAAGTATGTAACTCGTCCACAGGGAAGACAGGCATCAAAGGCGCAAAACCCCAAAGTGAAATTATTTACACTTCCGGTTGATAATCGTCGTCGTTGATTTTGAAAATCTTAGATCTGCTAGTAACCCTTAAAGGTCGCCGCAATTTGAAAGGCCTACATTTGGTCTGGCAGGTGCACCAAATTGAAACTATCGGTGTTATCGCTATATTGTACTGTGAATCTTACTCTTCACAGATGGAATACCAATACCAAAAGGAACCACAGTAGGCGTGGCACAAGTTTCTCTGCATTCCAACCCAAATGTCTGGCCAGATCCTGAGCGATTCGACCCAGACAGGTTTTTACCTGAAAATAGCGAAGGTCGTCATCCCTACGCTTATGTACCCTTTTCGGCGGGACCTAGAAACTGCATCGGTAAGTTTTCTAAGACAAATTTTATCGAAACAGTAACCTCGGTTTTAATAACACTAAGAATGATAAAAAGAAGCACCAAAGAAAAACGTTTGCGCATGCGTGCATTTTAGCACGTTTTCTAAGAATTTTGAAGAGATTGAGGGTTGTATCGTCGTGTACGGGAATTGTCAGGGGAATTCTATTCAAATTCAAATTTCGAGTAATCGGCTAGTAGTCGTACCCTACGATAGCATAAATTAAACTATAATAAATATTTATGTACACGCGCTGATGATACATCGTTTAAATATGACTAAAACATGAGACCACCCAACCGAATTCACTTCGTGGTCTAGTGGTTAGGTTTAGGGTTAGGTTTAGGGTTAGGGTTGGGGTTGGCATTGTAGTAGTTCTTTGGTGCCGAAGGTACCGAGTTCGATTCTTGGTGTCTTCACTTAATTTTTTTTCTAAGTGAGGAGAAGCAAAATTTCCCACTCGTGTGTTCGGAAACCTATGACGTACTTCGTTAATCCGTACACGACGATAGTACCTGATTGAGTGAGAAAATAAATGTTTGTTTCCTCCAAGTATACTAAAAAGTTCGAGAGTATACTTTTGTCAGACCAAGATACTGTATTAACAAACACAATATGGATTAGCCTAAAGTTTTAAGCATGGACACTAAGTTCTATTTTGTAAAGTCCAATTTATAAGGCATGTTTGAAAGTTAACTTTACACATGTTTTGACTAATTTGCATACGGATTCAGAGCATGCGCAGACGTTTTTCATTCGTGTCGCTATTTCTTCGATCTTGGAATGGGACCTATCGCGTATTATCTATCACCGTTCGCCCCTTTAACCTTTTTTGAAATAGCTGTATTTCGTCGATTAGGATTCCCCCGGCAGTGTCGCTGAATCATCGCCAATCAATTGCCCTATTTCACTATGACGTCACTTCAAAACAACCTATTGTTTAAACGCAAAGGATCATGGTCGTCGGTCAAATCAACGCAAATTCACCGAAAATTTTCTAAAACCCGTATCAATCCACGAAGAGAAGTAGAATAGCCAGCAAACGCTTATAATTTTTTTATTACATATTTACACATATTATATCTGAAAACCAGGCCATTTTAGATTAAACTGTTTCGCTAGGAGCAAATTTTGTTGAATTTTCTATTGGATTTGGCGATTCTATCCCCCACATAAACAAGCAGTGACGTCATAGTGAAATAGGGCAATTTCAGCTCATTTTTTCTTAAATATTTAATTCAGGTCAGCGGTTTGCTATCCTGGAGGAAAAGGTCGTGTTGGCCAACATTCTTCGTCACTTTAGCGTGAAGTCCGAGCAATCACGTGATCAAATCAGGGTTTGCGCTGAATTGATCACAAGGCCACAGAATGGGATCTTCGTCACTCTAACCCCAAGAAACTAAGCAAATTTATTCTTACAAGTGTATGAACACGCGGTTTGTTTCCAATTGAATGCCTTTGTAACCTGAGAAAACAGACGTCCTTTCGCCCATTGCCTCGCCCCGCGCCAAAGCGGCAAAAAGATGTCTGTTTTCTCATGTTAATATTACGATAAACTTTATTAAAAGAGAGTGACGCAATAACCCAGTGGTTTATCTAACTTACGGCTTTTGTTTTTAGCCTGTGTAAGAAAAAAGAAAAGAAAAAAAATAAAAATACACTGAGAAAATTATTCCACTAAATTAGATAAAGTATATCATCCACACCTTTTTTTCCAAAGCAAAAATTGTTCTCATTGGTATTAAATATCTCTATTCTATCTTATTGATTACAAGCGAATCGATATTAATTTGTACGTAAATGTTATAAAATTGATAAGCCTTATATCTATCACGCAAATGTAATTCTACTTCTGATAAACACTCAAACAAATACGGCTTCGATACACGAACTGATCATAACATAACCTAGATTTTTTGCCTGGATTGTATTAGCTTGCAGACGTTGCTGGTTGAGAACGGGGAGGATTGAGGCAAGTCATGGGCGGCCTGTTATGTTGTTACACTAGACCGGCTGTCCGTACCTCAAACTCCGTGCTTCTCTTTATTATTATGACTTAAATATGAAATATCGTAATAAAGGGTAGAAATAGTAATGTTGTTTGTTCTTTTTTTTTCTCCCAGCTCTCACAGGAAAGATTACAATAATATAGCTTTTTTAGACGTATTATTAAAAAAGTAAAAGAGTGAAAAGCGAGAGTGCTTTGGAATATTGACTTGACTGTTCTATAGATTTGTCAGGGTTCGCACTGCTGCTTGAATTCCTGGTAAACTCCTGGAATTAGGAAAATTTCTTCCAGGGCCCTGGAAAAGTCCTTGAAAATTTCATTTTTTACACCAACTCCTGGAAAGGTTCTTGAAATTTCTATTGGTATTAAGGTGCTGACACACGGTGCAACATTGCATGCAACATTGCACGCAACAGGACTGTTGCGGCGTGTGTCTACCCCAAACTTGTTGCACGCAACGTTGTATGCAATAAATCTGAAGTTGAATCGCGCTCTATTCTTGCAACATTGCGCGCAACAAATTTCATCACGTGAACATGGCTCCAACATTACCTGCAACATTTTGAAATTTCCAGCCAATCACCTTGCACCAAATTTATAACCGCTTACCAAATATCTTAACATAGCAGCCTGACACAAGCGATGTTGCGTGATTTTGTTGCAACTTGTGTCACCCCGATTCAAATTTGTTGCTTGCAATGTTGCGTGCAATGTTGCACTGTGTGTCAGTACCTTTTGGCTAAATTAGGCTGGAATTTTATAATCTCCTGGTTAAACCCTGATTTGTAACTAACTGAATTATATATTAGCTGGTCATGAAAAGCTTCTGATTGCTAATGTGGTGGTTGGTAATTATAGCAAAAGTCTCAGTACTTAGCTGAATTCTGCTTCGGTTCTTTCATAGAAAGACAACTAACATGTTATTGATTTGAATACCATGATGCTTGGCTTTAAGAAGTAAGGGTGAATGCAAACTAGCTACTCGGATGTTATGTGATTTCCTTTGTGTATTGATTCTGCCATCCGTGTCATCCATCTATAATGAATCAAGTAATATATTTGATCAAAATGATTAATAAGCATCGCCAGCAGCAAGTACTAAGTAAGCATCGCGAAAGCACGCGGGGCGGGTATGGTAAAGTGGGAATCAAGCACGCCAGGTGGTATGCGTCGCCTCTCACCAACGTGACCCAGGTTCAAATCCTGGGATCATAAGTGAATAGAGTTGTTTGTTTGTTCTCTTCTGTGCTTCGAGAGTTTTTTCCGGGTTTCCTCCCTCCTACAAAGCATTATGGTAGTGGGAGTCAAATGACGCCATCACGCAAGCGTCTTATTCATGGCTGCGCTGCGTGACAAGGGTCTAAAGAAAAACATTTTCTTCAGAATGCATTCAAAAACAAGTCCTACCTATCTCGGTCATTTTCCGTTTCTGCAGAAAAGTGGTACGTCCTTAGCGAGTCATTAGGAGGACTGCCATAAAAACAATAGTGTTTGCCACGTTTATCTCCCATCTCGATTGTGTAACCAAGTAACTTCGCAACCCCCAAGGCAGTGGTATTTGACATATCAGAGTAGTAATACAGGTAGCCGTTCTTCAGGACACAGTAACGGCGCTTCCAGTTCTTGATGTGGTGACCCTTTTTTGACAAGTAGCCGTGGCACTCGGGGTCTTTGATGGATAGAGCTGGGATACTGACGTTGTGGACGTTACCCTCTGAGATTTGGAAACTTGACTATGACACAAAAACAAGTTTGTTATTCGTGATTGATGCGGGGTCTTTTGGGAGGAGGACGGGTGGTCAAACTACAAAAGGTTTTTTTACTTCTTGACCAGGAATCGAAGCACCGGGGACTTTTACAATAACTGTCGGTTTTCACAGCCGCCATGTCGGATGAATTTAACAAAAGATTCGTCATTAGTCTCTTTTATTATATCATCCAACATGGCGGCCATGTCTTTTGTTAATTTCCTTGGGAATAACTGAAAACCAACAATTGCTGGGTTTCACATTGGAGGCGTACATCCATTCCCATAAGAATAAAAGGGCAAAAGACGTGTCCGCCATGTTGGTCGACATAACAAACGAACCCAACCCCATTTTTTACAGCCAATAAAAATAGCGGTCACATGCAGCCCAAAAATACCTACCCCATCAGGCGCGACTTTATTTGCTGCAGTCATAAGTCCCACCATCCATTCTCTCATTTCATCTTCATTGCTGGCGCTAAGGTGGTAGCTTCTTGCACCTCCTTTATCCAACTTAAAGCAGTATTTTCTGCTGTCCTCGGGTGCCTTGGTGATGGAATAGTTACAAAGGACTATAACTCCACAAGGCACTTTGTCTTTAGAATGCTTGTAATAGTACAAGCAATTATCTCCCTTGAGCACAAACCTGCAACAAACGAGAAAATGTGACTCTTCTCTTGCACAACCATTTTACCAAGTTCTAAAAATCAAACCACTTGCCTAACACTGATTTTCATCGGAATTTTGCATGAATTGTACGCTTACGCTTTTTCTCTTGCAACCATTCTACCAAATCCTAAAACTGACCAAATCAACTGACCTATCACTGATTTTATAGGGAATTTTGCATGAATTGTACACCTTTCACTGATATCAACTACACTCGATCTACAGTCCAGTATTGTCCATTAGTTCACCAAAAGTCTCCTGTAGCTCAGTCTTAAAGCATCTGCTAGATTTTGGAACGACATGGGTACATTTTCCTTCAGGAATTCTGCGGTTTTTGTTTTGTTTTGTTTTGTTTT